CATCTTAAGAAAAATACTAATATTAGCCACTTAAATTTTGATGCTTCAATTAGATTTTTATATACAATTTTTGAAAAGAAATCTTTTTTTACTCAATCATTTATGATTATGTTTCTCGAATTATTGAATATAATCTGAACACTTTACAAAAAAATTAAACACTTTAAGCGAAACAGCAGCAAGCAAATAAACAAATTTGTTGTTTAAAAACTAGAAACTGTGTTCGGAATCAGAAATCCTTGTAGTAATAAAGAAAAATATTAAAAAAATATTAACGCCACTGTTGTTGTGGAAAATAGAATAATAAACGAAAAAAATAGAACTAGAAAACAGTCTGTAATGTGTCTAAACCGAAAGAATCTATTTCATGATACCTAATAGGAATTGTAAAATATTAAACATTACAAAGCATTCAAATCCACTCACAATCTTCCAAATAATCACTTTTCACTATAACAATAAATGTCCCAAAAGCCAAGCAAACGAAACATCACATTGTATCTTTATAATGATGTCGACTCTATGTGTACATGTCGCAGGCAAATGGTTATTTCAGGTAGATATCTTCTTCCTAGTCAGATACTGTCTGCCTAGGCAAACAGTAGTTCGTTACAGTTTTATCATTAAATGTCTAGACAAATACTGTTGGACAAGACAAATAGTATCTGTCTAAGCTTGTTTTAGGCAAATACCATTCTTTCGATACAACAATGGAATATAGAGTAGGTACCTGTTCTAAATAAAGTAGTTCCTATCGTTATCAACCTGCTTTTCTTAAATTCAAGTCACTAATGAGTGTCAAACGAGTCAAATTACTTATACTAAATACAAAAATTTACTAGTTTTGACAATTCTTGCTGGAATGGCATCTACTGTTGCATATCATCTTATTTTTGAAACAAGTACACCTTTTTGTACTGCACTAAAATTTCGAAGGCTGGAAGAAAACAGCAGAAAACAGTGATTGTGAAGTACAGGTCTCTCTTAATATAGCATTCATGGGGTTGGGTTGGGTTGGTTTAAAGAGCTATTTGCCTGAAAATATTTTAGCCATATACTGTACGAAGGAGTAGAATTAATCCACAAATGTAAAAAAAAATTTCGAATGGACCTTCTAGAGATGATGGAAATATATCGGCACAACAATCAAAAAAACACTAAACTACTCAACGGCCAACTCGAATTTAAATATATGCCTATATTTACATATTTAAAGTTAAAAATTAATTTTATTTAAATTTATAGAATTATGGGTTTCGATCCATACAATAGTGCCATCTCGTAACATTTCGTAATATCTGTAAAAACAGGTCTTGTTTTTCGTTTTTCGTGTTTTCATGTATCGTTTGACACACGCTTTAATTGTACGTTTATAAGTTCGTGTATCTGTGTTGTTTTATAATTTAGTTATTTTATTTACATATAAGGGTTATTGTATTATAACACTAAACTCATAAAACCTTTATGACATTTCACGTTCTAAGAAAAACAGTTTTTTCCACTTGACTGTAAGTATTTTATATAAAAAACAAAAAAATTTTCAACGAAAAAACAAATTTGTAATCCTTTTTAATCATAGATTCGACTGATGATGGTTTTATAAGCCGAAACTAGTATCGAGAAAATAAAACAAGCGAGTGAGAAGTTGATCTATATTCATTTTCCTTTTAATATACTATTTGCCTAGGAAAGTAGAATTTAGACTGAAATAAATGTAATAAAACTATTTGCCTAGGCAGATAGTATCTGACTAGGAAAAAGCTATTTACCTGAAACAACCATTTGCATGTGGCATACATACAACCCAAATGTTATTCTGGCCAACGAGTTTTCAAGGCACAATGAAAGTTTTAGACGCCGCCGTTCTATGCCTATTTTGCTTTTTCACGTTGCTATATTATGTTCTTTATAATAAAGTATGTTAATAAAGTAAATTATAAAGTAGTAAACTAAGTTAATATGGGATAATTTAAGGCATAGTGCGCAATAATATGCATTAGTTAATTCTAAGTGAAGATAGTCTGTAGTAATGTAGACGATACAGATTTGTATCAGATGCAGTCATCAACAATACCAATGATACATGCCAATTTGCAACAATGTATACAACTTCTAGTAAGATATAGACTTTTAACAATCTAGATGATATGGGATAGTCTCAGATATAATGTTCAATAACATAAATGACTTTTGTTAAAAAAGGACAGTGTATATGTTGCTTATATTAAAGTGGTAAACATGGAATAAAAATAAGGAATAATCTCAGACATCGTGCGTGGTGGTATATTGTTACTATTGCTAGGGTAATTTCTAGGTAATCCGTAGTAATGAGAAGATGGAAGCTAATGTGAGACATACATAATTTTGGCTAATATAGAGCGGAGGCTAATACATAACTGTAATAAAGTAGGTAACATGGAATTGTGACAGGCTGATGTCATACATCCTGAAAGACAAAAGTAAGAAGAAGGGCAAATTAATATTGTGGTTAGATTATGAATTTACCAAAATACAAGTACATACTACTAAAATATATGATATAGTCATTGACCTTAGGTCAGGAGGAAGTAGGTACTTACTTTGATTTGTTGTTTGTTCGTTAGACTTACCGGTCAATTTCTGTTAAGATTAAACAACTGATGCTAGGTTATCAAAAAGAAACAAAATTTTGTGATGAAGTTACACAAATAATAAATCTGAGCCCAGCAACATAAGAATCTACAAGGAGACTGGTTCCTTTATCAGTATAATCCAAATATGAATCCACCAATGAATCTTTCGAAAAGAGATGTCAAGTACATATTGTTTTTTTTTTTTGCATCAAAACTTTAATTGTCTTTTATTAAAGTTTGCCTAATTTCATATTGACATGGGGATAGAATTCCGATCCTAGACCATTTAGTGTTGAATCAAAGTACAAATATGTGGAAATAGTTGATGGAGTAAAAAATTAGCAAGAAACACGGAAAAATACTTGAAATGTTATTACCTAGCATAAGGAAAGACGAAGGCAATTTTTTGATTTGCGTTGAACTCAAACACTGGATTTAAATCCAATTGAACATGTGCGGCCACGTTAGGTCAAGCGAATACTGAATCATATAGAAGCTTTTTGAAAATTACCGTTAATAAACAATTTAATTTTAGTTAAAAACAATGCAGTATACAACTGTTTGTTGTATCAAGACTGTCAAGTTTTGTTTTGTGTGATTAACTTTTGTTATCTAGTTATATAGGTTGTTACAGAATAACTATTCCTAATTTTTGGGAAATGACATAAAAATTTCTAATCATCTTGCTATATTAATTTTTCTCCTATCTTATAATGTTTTATAAAACGTTAGATTACATTAATGTTGGATGTAGATTTTTCTCCTTCATTGAATTTATAATATAACACATGATATGGGATATGTCCAAACAGTAGTGTTATAATGTAAATTAATGGTAAGGTAAGGAAGTGTCATACATTGTATGTAACAACAAAGCAGAATAATCTAACGGCGTTAAATTGCATATGTCTTCAATAGATCAATGGTTTGACCAGCTGTATGGCATGTGACACCATCTTATTAGAACCACTTGTCACTGATTTCAAGTTCATCCCGAAGATACTTAGGAAATTCGGGATGTTTTTCAAACTTTATCAGGGCCCACCATTTTGAGAAATTCCGTCGCTTCAACTGCTGAAGAGGGTTCAGTTCTTGAGTTAATTTGATCTTGTTGCGCTATCTCACTGGTACAGCAACATTCAATAGTGAATACTGGAATTGATCCACTACAACACGCACAGCCTGTCTGGTATTATGACCGAATACTAGAATAAGCGATCTTAAAGTTTGACTGAACTGATACTATTCGATTGTGAACTTTTCGATGATAAAAAGGTTCACCTGGGGGATAGAGAAAGTTGATATGGATCTAAGATCAATATGCAAAAATCAGTATAAACATAGGAATAGGAAATTGTAGGTTACAGCTCTAAGTTCCTTGCTTTTGAAACTCATCGTCAATATTGGACTGATAATATTTATTTTTCGAATTAACTGAAGTATTGTAAGATCGTTTGGAAACTGGATACCAAACTTCAAGATTTTAATTTACATGCCAAAACACTTAAGTTTTGAAAACAAACTTATTTTTAATGATTGTGATGTGGTTATAGAAAAAATAAAAGTGTAAGCATGTTTGTTAATCACTTTAATGTTATTCCTAAATCGCTCAGAGATTATTTTGAAGACGCGATACACAAAAAGAGACGGTGTGTAAATATATATTGTTTGTATATATTGTTTGATTTCGCCATGAAATTGTGGTGATGCTTCTTACAATTAGAGATTTCCTTCACGTTAGTGTAAACACATAATCTAGAGTTTCCTTATGTGTCCATAATTAGAATTTTCATCACAACCGTTATAACAACATGTATTACATAACGTTCGCTATAGTGGGGAACTTTACAGAGGAATAAAAACTTTGTATGTCATTGACATTGATTTGTGGCTTTCTAAGGCTCAGGGAAAAAATGAAAAAATAGTTAATTAATTTTACCAAGTAGTTAAAATCAACTATATAAAGAACATTAAAATTAAATATTGTATAAAAAAAATTGGATACAACTTTTTATCCATACAATTACCCTTCAAAACGTTATTCACCTTGAAACGTAATTTAAATCTAATCGTTTTTGTTCCATCTATTTATTTTTTCACCAAAGAAAGCTATTAAAATAGAAAAAAAACTGAATGGCTAAAAATAACTCAAATGATTACCCATTTCAGTTGAAAAATGATCATTAATAGTTTACAATATGTATATAAAAAATAATTATCTTTAGAGGTTTGAAAAGGATGACAAACACCTCATAATTATTTAGAAGGAAACTTGTCGATTCGACTTCGACCAAAATAATTACTGCCTATTATTTTCGACACCTTAATTGTGACGTCAACTATTTAAATGTGTTGATGCGTTCGTACGCATATATAAAAGTCGCATACTAAATTGGTCATCAATCAGTACGAATCGTGTACATTTTGTGTGCAGAACAAACTAAAATAATTAGAAAAGACAAAAATGAAGCATATTCTAGTCGTTTTGTTTGCTTGTGTTTTGGCTTTTGCTTATGCCAGGCCAGACGATAAATATACTACTAAATACGACGGAGTTGATTTAGATGCCATTTTAAAAAATAAACGTTTGTTGCATGGCTATATTAATTGTTTATTGGAAAAGGGGCCATGTAGCCCTGATGGAACTGAATTAAAGAGTAAGTGTTAAAAAAAAGACCTATTTATTCACTTTTATGATTATTTTATACAGATAATCTTCCCGATGCCATAAACAACGGTTGCTCAAAATGTAGTGAAAAACAAAGAGAAGGTGGTAAGAAAGTTCTTCGTTTCATTATCGATAATGAAAGGGCAGCTTGGGATGAATTGGAGAAGAAATATGATCCTTCTGGTGAATATAGGAAGAAGTACGAAGCTGAGGCTAAAAAAGAAGGAATTAATTTGTAAACAAAATGATGATTACTCTTATTCTTTTCAATCAAAATCTGTGCCAATGATGACCAATATTCACGCAAACCTAATGAGTCCTATAGTCTCTTGTTTTTTAGCTGAGCATTTAAAAAAACCAAAAAAAAATTATAAATTTGTTATTTATATTTAATAAAAAAGAATGTTATTAATTATTATGGCTTGTTATTTTAATGGGTGACAAATAATTATAACTATTTTATTGGTTCTGAAGTTCTGAGTGTTTCGATAGTTAGCAAAACGAAGGCGAATATTTTCAAAGAATCATTATTGTGTATAATTATGACAATTACGAAATAATTAAAACTTTCTATTTTAAAATTTCGTAAAAGAACAAAAGCTTACCGGTATACAAGTATAAAAAATCACATTTACTTCATGTAATTTCAGAAATAATTTTGATTTAAATTGTAAGAATTTCATCATATTTTGTGTAGCCTTTGAAAATTCAATTTTAATTATCGTTTCTCTTATTCAACTTGAAACATTTTTCATAAAAATTACAACGTTTGTTGGCAGATTAAGTGTTGAACGTTTAACACTGTTTGTGAAAAATCAACAACTATTCATCAATCTAAATTGTGTATTATCCGATAGTGCTTTAATTAAATTAGCCAAAATGGCTAACTACTTGATGTAAAATGGCATCAATTAAAATCTCTTAAAACTGCTTAAAATGGCTGAAAATTAAAATAAGATTTGATTTATGTGGATAGCATTAATACCTGTCTGGATATGATTGGGTAAATAAATTTAGCAGGGGCTGAGTGTTGAGTTATGTTACTGTGCAAAATATTACCTCAACGTCATCCGACCAGAATCGGTTTATAATGATGAATAAAACGTATCCTGTCAACTGATTCAAAGCATTCTTAAAGTTTTAAATGCAGAAGATGTGACCGGACTGCAACAAGTTGCATAAATAGATCCTTCTATAAAAAAGGTTTTTTTGGATACTATTAAATAAGTATAAGGATTCTTGAAATGTGAAAGTACATTCACCATTAATAGATTACCAAACCCATTCAAAAAAGGTCATCCTAACATTGGAGTAATGATGGCACAAAATGGCACTTACAATAAAATTCTAAAAGATCTAGTTAATATTTCCAATGACAATCTCTTTGAATCCAACAATAAATCAATTTTAATAATGAACGACAAAAAGACGACCTAACAGCAAATATATGAAATGAACAAGGGTATAAAGGATTTATTGTTAGCATCTCCTTTACTAGATCTATGTCGATGGACATTCTTCTGACGTAACTTTCCATGCAACTAAATCCTGTCAAGAAAATGGCATCATACTGATTACACTCATTTCAATCTCTACTCATTTTATCTAACACGTGAATATTGCTGTTTTTCGTGTTGGCAATTAATATCGAGAAATTAATCCTTTACTCTTTACCAGAAACTACGAAATCTGCACAATGGTTTCAGAGCTTCTCACTCTACATTTCACTGAAATTCTTAGTGGTAATGATAACCGTTCAGCTACTAACAATGGTGTCGTTATAGGAAACATTAGAAGATCTATGTTTTCTGGAGTCGCGAATAGATAAAGAAAAACGTCTGTCGTTTCAAAAATCATCGTGTACATTGAGTTAATGGTTTCATTGTTTCAACTCTGGTGTAATATTACTCAAGACTATAATGATCTTAAAAATTATGGTTTGCCAGTTAATAAAGTTTTTCAGATAAAAATTGTGATGAACAGACATGACCGTTTTTGAAAATGAAATTGAATGTGATACTATTAATGTAATAGAAGTTTTGTGTTCTGATTATGTACTTTCAAGAAGTAACAAGAAATAAATGTCAATTCACAAGTTCAAAATCAAAGTGAGACAAAAGTATTGATTGAAACCAGTTTGACCAGAATTAAAAGATACTAGGAAAAAGTGAGAGAAGGAAATATACCATATATTGCCACATCAGTGCAATGGTAACAATGCTACTAATACTATATAAGATATTTCAAAACTCCGCCTTGTCTTCTTGTACAAACCTAAGTTTATTTAACTATTTCCATCCAGTTATGTAATAATTCCAAAACTGTATGTAATAGTTGTTCGGTAAACAGATGACACACTAAGACAGAAAAAATGATGTAAAATGAAAAATTTTATACTTAAATTGTCAAAATGATGTATTAGAAAGCAAAATGCCAAGAACATGTCAGCAGGAATGAAAATATTAAATTAAGAAACTGAAATAATATCATCGCTATGGGTAATAAGCACACATCACCACTTTTGGACGCAGTAATACTACAAAACCTTATCTATTCTTATCATCGACAGATGCGAAGTAGAGTATTTAAAGATAAATTAGGCATCCTGGGAAGAAATCAAGTTTACAATTAACCAAACCACTCCAACTTGCATTATTTTTATACAGAATGTACAAAAGAATAAAAAGCTAAATGATGCAAAACTAAAACAAGTGGTATAAACTGAGAAAATATTTTGAGAATAAGTGACAACCCCGCCATTACATGAAACAGTGAACTACACCTTTCACACATACCGCTTGTAATTAAGCCTTAAGCATGGAGAAGGTTAGTTAATCTACACGATTATAATCATTTTTCTCCCATGTATTTCCTTATCCCTAACTTGTACTGTTGGGATTTAGAACATATCTGTTATATGATTAATGTTACCGCTCCTTATCTAGGCTATTCAATCAATCATCATAAGTAAAATGTTAAGATGTGCCAAGACGCGTAACATTGTGATTTCATTTAATTGATGCTGACAGCTGTTGTTGTTGGGATTATGCTGGAATCTGCTGTATCTGAAATTTCATGAATATGAGATTGTAACATAGAATCTGGAAGACCCGCTTAAATAATTAATTGAGAAGTTGACATGATGAAGTTCACATCTTTTTAAACTGAATATCCATTGTATCATGTGGTAGCGATTTAGGTTAGCATTAATACGTGTCGTCTACCAGTTATGGCATTAAAATGTGCAAAAACTAGATCCAATGTGTTCTGATAATCATTGAATTATGTCAAACCACATACTGCTGTAATACTTGTAGTCATTGAAGCTCTTCTAACTTGGGATCTTCACAAAACATCAATATATCATTCGAAAATTGTTGAACTAAAATAATAATCTGATCTATAAACGAATATCAGACTTAATTGATCTAGTTTTGTTTGTAAATATAAGACGCCTATAGAGACAAACTAGTAAGAGATGTCTCACTCACAGCATCAATCCTCAAGAACCGATCTGAATATTTAGATTCAAAGCAAACAAACAAAAATATTTAATTAATAATGATTATTATAATTAGGTTGAAATTGAAGTTAATATCCATTATGCCAGTTTGTTTAACGTGATAGAAAAAATTTTTCGAATTTTGTTGTACTTTTACTGGTTTATTTAAATTTTTGTTGTCTAACTAGTTTCGGCAAAAGCCATCATCAGAGACAAAAGTCATTGTAATTCTTTTACAAAACTTTAAAGATTTAACTCCGCATGGACATCTTTTGTGGTAGATCTGTAACATCAGACCATCTTGTAACATCTTGATGTTACAGACCATCTTGTAACATCTACCACAAAAGATGTCCATGCGGAGTTAAATCTTTAAAGTTTTATACAAGAATTTTTACATGTATTTTAAGTAAATTTTGTGACAGTAATAATTTTAATTTGTTCACCGCTTTATATTTTCGATGTTAATTGCCTATAAGATACAATGACTTTTGTCTCTGATGATGGCTTTTGCCGAAACTAGTTAGACAACAAAAATTTAAATAAACCAGTAAAAGTACAACAAAATTCGAAAATTTTTTCTATCACGATTATTATAATATTAATTAATAATTTCTAATGATTGTTTTATAAAATAAATAATAGTCATACAAAGTAATAATAATTGACAAATTTTTTTTAATTACCAATCTTTTCAGTACTATTAAATATAGTTTGACGACATAATTTTCTCAGAATTGTTTGTGAATGACTAAAAATGACTTGAAAGTACTTAATTCTATTGAACCCGGTTTTATAAACGTTTATCAAGTTAATCAAGGTTTAATTTGATGTTGATTCATCATTTTCGCTTGCCAATTCACTAACGCATCGGATTAGTCTTAGTTCCACGTTCCTTGGAAAACAAGTAAATATCTCATCAATGGCACAGAAAAGAATATTAGCCATTAAGAAAAACAGCACTACGCCTTTGTAGAATTGCAAAGCAAATCAGGTCATCACTAGATCAAACAGCGAGATTAAATTTACTGGAAATATAGGTTGGATGAATGGTATTCTCCCAAGATCTTATTGAAGATAAAGGAGTATATCCTCACCAAGTCAGAAATGTAAACGCAAGTAGTTTCTTCTGAAAATAAATGCCAAGAAGAACATACGATAAGAACGTGTGACACTAATATTGTCGTGCCCCAAATCCCAAATCCACATTCAATGAAGGGTATAGATACAAGTAAGTATTTTCACTGGAATGCAAATATATGGTTCGGCCCATAAGTCAGACGATTAATGAATTTAAAATGTCAATCAAATACCCAAACGTTGAAATTGTATCTTTGTCATCAAATACAACTTCTGTAATGCAACCACTAAACCAAGGTATTATTGCGACATTTAAAACATACTACGTATAAGGAACATATCAACATGTTTTGAACAAAATGAATTATAAAACAATGAACATCATTAATATGTGGAGGTAATTCTTAATTATGGCTTGTATCAAATACGTTGGACAGCGTTGAATGGTTTAAAACCTACGACTTTAAATGCATATTGAAAAGTAATTTAGTCATAATGCTTAAAAAGCCTATCATACTTAATACAACAAATTTTTCACATCATTACAATGGCATACGCAATTGATGGAGACTGATTTGATGAGTTATCATTTGAAGATGATATCAAGCGAAGATGAAATACTAGAAATTGTTCTTGCAACTCCAAGTCTCATAAAACCTAATTATAAACAAATTAAAACAAATTATTAGTTATTTGACTTTAAAATAACGATTAATTTCTATTAGATAAAATTGTTTAAAAATTTTGTGGTCAACAAAACATCCAAAAATAAGATATATAACTAACTGTTTTTATTAATATGTTCAAATACAAAAAAAATGATATAAAACGTTACATCAAATCACTTAAATATTAATTCCTTCTTTAGCTGCCTCTTCTTTGTATCTAATCCTGTACTCTCCTTTGGGGTCATACATCTTCTCCAATTCATCAAAAATAGCTGGCTCCTTATTAATCAAATGTCTTAAAACAATTTTGCTGCCTTCCTTCTGTTTTTCATTGCATTTTTCACAGTGAGTGGCCAAAGCGTCAGGTAAAACCGCTAAAGGTTCATATAAACATATTTTTAATAGTTAGAAAAAAAGTAGTTTTAAAACTGAATAATACATACTTTTTAATTCAGCACCATCTGGACTGCATGGTCCTTTATCCAAAATACAATTTGTATATCCCTTCAATAACCGTTTATTATTAAGGATATCATCGATGTTAACATTATCGTATTTCGTAGTATATTTCTCGGCTGCATTTACAAGAACAGCAGCTATAAGAATTACCAAAAACGCAATCGACTTCATCGTTACTGGACTCTTTCTCTTTAAATCTGGTTTGCAACTAACTTTAAGGTGTGGATATTCCGGTTTATATAGTGGTTATTCGCCAAAAAGATTTCAAGTAGTAGGACGAAGAAAGAAGAATAATTTCGTTCTTGAATTAAGTGGATTACACAGTGATTCCCCCACTGATTACATTGGTTGTATGTATATTGATGATACATATTTCAAGTTAAAAACAGTTGACATTTATTGGAACTGAGTTTTAACCACATCAGTTTTTTATGTTTCGTTAATCACCTGTTTTTTTTCCTTTTTATTAAATTAAGTGAAAACCTCAAAACCATAATTGCCAATAAATTAGCAGTAAAATGAATAATTAGATTTATTAATATACATGTACAAACATATATCATTTTTAAATTGAATGTGAAATACTATTCACTATTTAAAATCGAATCAAACTCCTTTATCGTCTGCCTCTATACAGGGAGGGTATAGAGGCTCCTTCTAGCGTTAAGAGATCTCTTTTGTAACGTACTTCCATCCTGCTAACATATTCTGCCGATTACAACCTTTGAAGTCGTATGTACAGGGTGGGCAAATTTGGGTATTATTATAGGCTATCTCAGAAACTATAAGAGATACGAAAAAAGTAGGTGCCATGTCCCGGTCTCTTTTTTCGAGACTAATTCAATCCCGCAAACATCAAACCTCTATCTTCTTTTGTTTTTAAGTTATAGCCAAAAAGTCAAATTTTCGTGATTTCAAAAAATGCTCATATTTCGTTTATTTTTCAAATTATAGGAATGGGGTTGATACGTTCTTAAGACACTTTTTTAAGTGGAATATACTGCCGTTGAAAAGTTTTAAATATACTTGATGATTTTTGAGATACAACACAAAGTTGTGTTTTTTTAAATACAAACTATACTTGATTATGATGTTAAAGAAAAGAGCATATTTTTAGCTTTCCAATGATGTATCGCATGTATGGTGTATTTGCAGAAAATAAGCGTTAATTTTCAATTCGAAAATAGTAAGCGCTAATGTTCAAAATTTTGATTATAGTAGGCGTGTCCGGACAGTAAATACTACCTAGTGGCTATAATATATGGTTTTGCACGAATATGACAGAATAAAGTTGGTTTTGTACCATTATTCAGGATAAGTTGGTTTTGTACCAACGAATAAAAACTTTGAATAGTTAATTTAAATTTCTCAGCATCTTATCCCTGACTTTGTTCACCAATAAAAAATGATTAGCATTTAAAGTTTGTTTATTAAAAATACAAGAAATGTATTAATTAATGAATAATTAAATATGGACAACTTCAGGAACTAAACAGTCATAAACTGTCATCTTCTTCTACTCAACTTACTGGTTGTAAGATTAGAACAGTTCGGTATCAATGAATGAAATCTTCGGTAGTATTTTCCCAGTTTTCCCCAAACATAAGATGTAGAAGTTTTTTGATATCAGCAATCTTTTCTTTTGAAATTGGGTGAGATAGAGGAAAATTAGGAATCATAAACTGGGAGCGGACTTTCCATTGAAACACCGTTTGAATGGGGATATGAAGACTTATGTATCATCTTCAAAGCGGACTCCAATATATTCTATATTTAATTTTATCGTTTTATTTAAAGATAATGCGGAACTTCTTAAACGGGAAACTCGTTTCGCAAAATTCATGAATGAAATGACAAGTAAACTCACGTTGCTATAGTAACTAAGTAGTATTTAGCGTTTTCCTCGCCTACTATAATTAAAAATTTGAATTTTAATCTTTAATATTTTAAAAATTGAAAAATAACGCTTATTTTCCGCAGAAACATCATGCGTGCGATACATCATTGGAAAGCTAAAAATATGCTCTTTTCAGTAATATCATAATAAAGTATAGTTTGTATTTAAAAAAATACAACTTTATGTTATATCTCAAAAATTATCAGCTATGTTAAAAATTTTTCAACGGCAGTATATTCTACTCAAAAAAGTGTCTTAAGAATGCATTAACCCCATTTCTCTAATTTCAAAAATAAACGAAATATGAGCATTTTTTGAAATCACTAAAATTTGACTTTTTGGCTATAACTTAAAAACAAAAGAAGATAGAGATTTGGTCTTTACGGGATTGGATTAGTCTCGGAAAAAGAGACCGGGACATGGCACCTACTTTTTTTGTATCTCTTATAGTTTCTGAGATAGCCTATAATAACACCCAAATTTGCCCACCCTGTACAGTACAAATTAGCTTTTCTTAGGAATTGATACAATTCGTTGTTATATCTAACCGACCATATGTTGTTTTCTTTGATAGTCCCCTGCATTCTTCTTTCCTCTTAAATATGCATAGTTTACTTTTTGTGCCATCATTGTCCATGTTCCGCATCTGTAACGTATGTTAGGACTTATAATGTCTTATATTATCTAAATTTCACCACACCATAGCATATGTCATAATACAGAATCAGATGACCAACCCATTCGAAATAACATAAAGATTGAAACAAGGTGATGAATTGGCCTCCGTTCTTTTCAATATCGCCTTGGAATATATCATAAGAAATATGTCGATCAATTCTTCAACTATCTTGAATAATAAGTCCCTTCAAATAGCAGCATATGCTGGCGACATGCATATAATGGGAAGAGCAATAACGATAGCGAAGGAGATATTTATCGAACTGGAAGACAATGCTCGAGAAATGGGTCTATCAATAAATGTAGAGAAAACCAAAGTTTTAACCCAAACACGCTTAGGCAGAACTCAGCAAAATCTAACCATCGGGGATAGTAACCTGGAAAGAGTGAATGACTTCACATATCTGGGAGTAATAACTATCAAAGGATGGTAGCGATGAGCCGGAAGTCCGAAGAAGGATTACACAGGCAAACAGAGCATATTTTGCCCTTCTCCATATATTTAGAAGGCGTGGTCTACACCCCAACAAGAAAATACGTTTATATAAAACTATTCTAAGGCCAATATTAGCATATGGGTTCAGATGGTTAAGGCGAAAAAACGTTTCTGAACGTCGTCCTGGTTTTGCAGAAGTACCACAAGGGTCGATTATCGCACTTCGAAGTTATTGAAGGACTTAAAGTACTGCACGGGACATACGTACGCTGATGATAGGCAGCTATATGTATCTTTTGCACCCGACGACCGGCAAATAGCTCTCCAGAACCTAAATAGTGACTTAAATCAATTATATCAATTAACACTAAAGTATAATCTCCACTTGAATCCTTCTAAGTCTCAAGATTACCAATTTTATTCGGTAGTTCTTTGGTGATCAAATCGCTTACCCCACAATTTACAATTAGTATTAATAATTAGACTAAAACTAGAACTAACACTAGCACTATCACTAGAACTAACACTAGACCTAGAACTAGAAGCTATCGGGTTAAGAAGTGCGTTTTTTGAAAAAATGTTTCGTCAAAGATTTTTTCAAAAAACGCACGGCTTAACCCGAACGTTTCTAGTTCTAGATCTAGTGTTAGTTCTAGTGATAGTGCTGGTGTTAGTTCTAGTATTAGTTTAATTAACACCGGCCGTGAAAGCCTTCCTACTTATAGTATTAATAATGTTACTATTCCGATAAGTGAAAGTGTAAAAAACTCGGGTGTTATCATGGATAACTCATTTAGATACAAAGAGCAGATTTCGCTACTTATGCGTAGAGCATATGCCAGTCTTCGTGCATTATACCCTCATCGTCGCTGTTTGCCGTTAACACTAAAGAAACGGCTGTATGATTCACTGGTTCTATCTCATTTTGTCTACTGCGCTCAGCTTTACCATACCTCAACTGATAGTATTGATACTATACGCATTCAAAGAGTGCAGAATGCTTATTTGAGGTTGAGGCTCCTTTAAGTCTACCCTTGTCAACTTGCTAATGAGAGATCAATAGCTTTTACTTTTATTTTTTTTTTTTTAATTTATTTTTATTTGTATTTACCTTAACTATTCTCGTTTGCCGTGACATTGCTAGCTATTTTCCATTTTGCTTTGTAATAAAATTTTCGTTAGTGGGTTGGGTGTGAGCAGGGGCACATTTTTGATGTGCCATCTGGACCCTGCCTTACATATTTTATTTATACATTGTAATTAAGTTTATTTAATTCAATAAAAGGCATTATTGTTATTAAATCTGAGTCTTCATCAAAAAAATGACAAACTATATAAGCATGTTTGAAAGAAAAATCCTAAGAAGAATATTTGGCCCAAAGCAAGAAGACGGGGAATGGAGATCCAGGTACAATCGCGAATTGTACGAAATGTATAAAGATATGCCTATATCCATTTTCGTCAGAATAGAAAGACTCCGTTGGGCTGGTCACGTGGTCCGAATGGAGGAAATTAGAACGCCTAAAAGAGTACTCGAGTCTAAAATAGACCAACGCAGGCCAGCGGGAAGACCCAGAAAGAGATGGCAGGATGAGGTAGAGGAGGACTTAAGAAGTATCCTTAAGCGGCTGTGGATAGAGAGGAATGGGAAGAGAAACTGAAGGAAGTCAAGGCCCGGAGCGGGCTGTAGCACCATTAAAAGAAGATACTCTAAATTTATTGTAACGATGAACATCTTAATTGTGGCACAGTACAAAGTAATTCTTTTAAGATTTTTTTTTGTTTTTCGTTCCATTTACGTCTCCAAGTAGACAAATTACTAAACCGGTTTTTCTCTTTGCTACCTATTTTTGTTTTGGCCACTTCTTTAACTACTATCATTGTATACTGTCACGTTATTCCAATAATCTTCGACGCTAAGTTAGTTTTCACAATAGTCTTGATGTTATTTCTCTTTCTAAGTTTGTCCTCACGTTTGGCAACTGTTGTCTGTCTCTATCCAGGTTCTTAATATTTGCTTTATCCCTGTGGGTACTATTTTTTGATATTCGACTGGATTTTCGATTGGATTTATATCTGAATTTTGTTTCTACTAGGAAATGATCTGAGTCTGGACTATAGCATGCTCCTCTTCTTATTTTGTCATCTAGAATGTTCTATATATTCTGTGGGGAAAGCATGTTGAATTTACTGTCATATTTTTACTAGTGGCAAAGATTATTACAAATTCTTTATTCACATTGCTTTATCCGTGCATTGAGTGTGTCAGAGTGCAATAAGTATTTACATATGAAAAAATATTAGTTTCAATAAAATTCAAATTATTTAAATGTGCTTTTTTAATTTTAAAAGAATTATTAAAAATGGAGTTGGAAAGACTATATTTTTTTGGTCGACTGACTGTTCTCTTATTTTGTCGTCGCAGTATCCCTCTGAAGACACAAACAAAAGCTAGCTAACCATGCCTCTTTTATTGGAATTACGACTTGTTAAAAAAAGAGGGATTATCGATCAATATTCTTACACCTGGTCCTACAAATTTTCCCTCTTCAATTTTGGTTTTATTAGATAATTGATTTTTCAGCAACTCACTTTCCTGCAACCTCATCCTACAACTCAAATACTTTTACAAAATTATTGATTAATCTTATTATTATTATTATTGCTGCCGGGCTGAGGGGAGAGCCCCTCTTTTACCGCGACCTATAAGATCTATTGTAACTTTAGCCCCCCAAAAGTGTAGGGCAAATGTAGGTCCTTGATAAACCTTTGTATTGCCCTGAAGTCTTGAACCTTTATGTCGGTAGGTGTCAAGAGAGTTTTACCGAAAATTTTGTGTCTTAGTCGGCCTCTGGCGACGCAATTGCACAGTGTTCTGACTCGTCGTTGCAAAGTCGACAAGTTTGATCCTCAGCTTGTCCAATGTGGAAGAGGCGGTATTTTAGGGGCGCATGGCCAGTCAGGTAACCTGACAGCGTTCTTAGATCCCCTTTGCTGAGGCATAAAACCTCTTTGGTTTTGTTTTGCGACGGAGTTATCATACTTTTCGCTTGTCTGTGACTTGGAAGTTCTATCCAGCTGTGACCTGGAACCTGTCATAGGGTAACATCATTGCACCTAGCAAGTTCTCTCAGGTTGCCGGTACACTCTCTGATAAATGCGGAGTCACACGTGTAGGCCTGAATTGGCTTTAAGGCGGTCGACTGTCTGTGAAAGTGTTTATGGATGCTATTTTTTGTCCCTTCTGTAGGTTCAAAGCGGTGCAGAGGTTTATAGCAAGAATATCTGCTTGAAAAATTGTTATGTCCGAGCTGAGGGGCAGTTTAATGTGCCTACTCCGGATCTAACTGTCTTTGAAACATCGGTGTACCAGCCTAGGGATCCTCGTTTTGATTAACCTTAGTTTGATGAGCAATTGTTTCAGTTTTGTTTAACATAATATTCTGAAAACGCTCTGCTATCTCATTCACAGACAAAGCAACAATACTTCGTATAATCAGATGTTAGCAATCCTAAAATTAAATGAACTACTTTCAAACGTGCACATATTTGCTATTTAAACTCTGCGTATTTGATATTTTCCAGAATAATTCTTAAAATCATATTTTAAGTTTAGAGCAAACTGCCATCCAACTTAATTTTGTTCTGTCAGTATATACTCTTTATATTTTTGGAAAAGGATGGTTTGTTTTGTTACAGAAAACTGAACTACCTTCCTATGAATAAAAAAAGCAGTTGTACCTTTTTCAGTAAGTTGTAATTTACCTGTAGAAGCTTCCACTGTTTCAATCACAATTCTAATATTTAATAAATTTTATTTAATTTTATTTTTGGTGGTAATTTCATATTGTGTAAATTATTTAATTAATTGAATGTTTCAATTAAAGAATGGAACTCTTAAGCAAGAGAAAAATATCACGTTAGTAAAACCAACTCATCTCTCGTACATATATTGTAAAGAAAAGAAAACAAAAATAATACATATATACGAAAACATGTTTTTTTTTAAATAAGTATAGCCTTATATCTCATTATATATTCATCATATATTCTCCTGTAATCATTTTTGTAATTACCAAAGTGGCCCTAGAATTTATTCAAACGACAATTCAAAATCATTGAAATTTTTCCTAAAACATTTTTGCAACTGATTCATATTTTCCTCCATGCTTCCAATTTAGCATAAGTGATGTGGTTTGAGTAATTAATCAAACATGACTTCTTTTAATTGTTCATTACGAAATGAAGGAAATGATTAAAACATTAAACACGTTCTTGAAAGTACAGTTTGGGTCGTATACATTAACTGTATTAAATGATAACTAATGTAATAAATGATTTTTTAACACAATCTATTTAAAATGAACACTAATGAAAAATGAATTATATTTATAACATAAAATTAACATATTTATTAAAACTAAACTGTTAGTCATCTTGATGTGGTAGGATTTCTTAATCATTTTAATTTTTCCATTTTAAAATAAAAATGGAAATCTTCATAACCACAAAATACAATAGGACGGTAGCAAGATGAACAATCAAACATAAACTAAAATAAAAAGCAATTACTACGGCCAAACCTATTGTTATAAACGAAGCCGTGTGCCACGCACGTATTGACATCGTTGTGTGTCGTAAAGCATGACACCAAATGTAATTTTATTATGCCAAAGTGCCTATTACGGTACGGCCATAATTCCATAATATCATATTACGATTCTATACGATTCCCTCTAGCACCCCTCCAAGAAGATTTTTGACATTTTCTTACCTATATATAGAAAGAAAACCAGCTATGAACCAAACGAAATTGTCAATCGTTTGATATTAAAACAATGGCTCGTTTGGTGTTGTTATATTTTCTAATAGGCTACGTTTTCTTATTGGTAAATTGCGCTGATAAATACACAACTAAATACGACGGTATCAATGTGAATGATATCATTAATAATCGAAGGTTATTATTGGGTTATTGTCGATGTCTTTTGGGTAAATCTGCTTGTAGCCCGGACGGTGCTGAATTGAAAAGTAAGTACAATAAATATTCCAAGAGAAAACGTTTATACCTTTATTGAATAAACTTAATTTTCTTTTAAAGAAAATCTTCGAGATGCGATCGAAACGAAATGCAGCCGTTGCAGTGATAAGCAAAAAGAGGGTGCTAAAATCATTTTGAGACATTTAATCGATCACGAAAGAGATGAATGTTGGGATCCGATTGAAAAGGAATACGATCCAACTGGAAAATACGCTCGTGAATACATGGAAGAGATATCTAAGGAGAATTAATTTTAATTATATATTTATTCAACTGATAAAGATTTATTTTTTATATTATAATTTGTGCAAATAAATTTTCTATAAAATACATTTTCTTAGTACGTATTACTTTTTTTAATTAAACAAGTTTTTCTTTTAATTTTGTTATAGTGGTGTTAACTATTTAAAACTGATTAAACATACAAATTGTTATATTAGTCTTTTGTTTTTTTTATTGTTGTTTAAAATAATATATTCGCCGAATATAGAACAAATTGAAGGTTATAATAATTTGAGTATAACATTTTTTAATCTAGATTAAACATACATTAAAATTATCCAAAGCCCGTTGAATTTATCTTGAACAACAATCAAAAAGCGATTATTTCCGGTTATTAACATCCAGTTTTATTTTTCCTGCTATATCATAATTATTATTTAGAATATTCAGTTTAAAAGGTTAATTTTACCTCCTTAAAATTCCTTATTATTATACTATCAAATTAAATTTTTATTATTTTCAATTGATATAATCTTCCTGAATTACAGATACGCACATACAACGAAATTTTGACGTAACATATAACCAATTTTTAAATAAAACTTCATGTTTAAATGTTGAAATTTTGAAACATTAAGAAACGTTGAAAAATAAATGGTGCAATGTTTTAAATATATTTCTACAATTCAAAATTTTGATTTGCTTTTATGTTTAAAACGGTAAGATCAACACATTTAATATGCTTTTAACTAATTCATCTCGCTAATTGTAAGTAGACGTGGTGAATAACAATCAGTTCTATTTGAGAATAAAACGAGAATGATATTTTACAAATTCTACAATAAAGAAGAAAATATAAACAAGTTGTTCTTAAAATAATACAAATCCTGTAACCAGTTCAAGAATGACTTTCCAATTTTAGAGGTTGTACTCATTTTATTTTCCTTGGTTTTGTTAGATTATGTTGTGTTCCGAGGTGGTATCCACTATGAATTTCTGTTGCTGTGACTTTTCTCTGAGGATTTATGCCCTCATCCTGTTACTCTTTAGCCTTGAAAGATTCTCTCTCTTTTTATCGTTATTCTCATTATTACTCATAATCTGTTATTTGAAGAAGGCTCTAAAAGCATCTTACAATTAGATTAGTTATCTTTTTTATTTTCGGTACATTTCTTACCTTAGTTTTATACCTCCCACTGAGTATAGAAATACACAACAAAAGCTTATCACATTTTACGTTTCTTGACATTATAAAAAAATTTATGGCTAGATAATAGATTTTGCATGCCGTCTACTTCGCGTAAAACAGATAAGTGGAACGTACTTGGGTAAGCAAGAAAATGATAGTGGTATATCTTGCGCAGACACAGCTCAGACAGTGCCAATGGTCATAGTACGACATTGTTTTCTGTCCGAAAGCAATATAAGATTCATCACTGTCTTTTAACCGAAAAATAATCCCGTCCTGAGATTTATTTAGTTATAATTAGAGACCGGATTTATATGCTTTTGCATGTTTTGCATATAACTTCATATTTTGCATTTTTATCGCATATAAATTTAGTTATCCATATAGTTCGATATAATCGCATGTAATTTCGTATGAGCGCATGTTTTGTCCATATTTCAATATAACAGCAGTTAATTTGACACTGGTGGTATCTAGTAGCAGACAGAGAGTTAAAAGTGCGGCAGTGGTGTGCTTTACAACATAACTTTGATTGTGTGGTTCCCCTCCGATTTTCGTAACATAACCTCTAAATCATTTCAAGCCACACAAGTGTTCAAGTGATTTATACGTTAAGTTAGTGTGTTAAAGAAACAATAAATCATAATGCCGAAAGTGGGTTCTTCTAAGGCGGAATTGCTTGAAATGTGGATAAACATATCTAACCAGCTAGTGACTGACAGGAAAATTGTTTTTTGCAACGCCTGTTCCAAACAAGTACGTATAAATTAAAGTTTGAAGACTTTTTTTCTATATAAAGATCAGGTAGCAAATTCAACCAAAGTTTTATTTCTGATGCAATGCCTGAATCATCACAACAAATCGCTGGAAATGAGTTTTTTTTCGATTTATGCAACGCCATAGCCCAATCAAATATACCATGGAACAAATTGGAAAATTGGAAAATCCAGAAACTTTACTGTTTCAAATTTATAGCTATTGTCGTTGTAAATAATATCTTTGTATGCTGTTTTGTAATCTTTATATATTATATTTTATTATATTTATATACTATTTGTTACAATGCAACATTAAAAGTAGTATTTATGTAACACATATGCATTTTTTTTTGTTTTGACCGCATGATATTGTCCATATTTCCGGAATATTACTACATATTTTGACCAATTTTAAACACATATAAAAAACTTGTTTATTTTTGTCGCATATAAATCCGGGCATTAGTTATAATAGTTTTCGTTATTGTAAAATCCTATGGAGCGGGTATCATTGTGACTGCAGTATTTTCAATAAAGGTTTAAAAACGGCAATCATATGAATATTTCTTTAATACAAATGAACGACAACAATGACGATTTGGGATGACGCATGCAAATCTTATCTCTAATCTTAATCTCGGCATAATATTTTGGAGTGTTAGATATTTTTTAGATTCTTTTTACAATTAAGAGTAAAACAGTCTTCTTCGTCATAATTACTTTTTTCTCTTCCACATCTGCCTCATCACTTCCACTTTGATCATTTTGTCCAACCATAAAACGTTCAGTATGCTACGATATATTCATAGCAAAATACCTCCAGTCTCTTTACGTCAATTCCTTTTAATGTCGAAACTTACGTGTCATACTACAGCACTAATAGTACGTAATAGTACACTATAGTCTCACCATTCGTAGTTTTAATTCAAGGTTTATATGTCGAAAATAGAAGATCCACTTCCTTCCCGTTCAATTCTAATTCATATTTCTTCAGAGTTGTTATTGTCCTCATTCACAATAAAATTGGCCCTAAATATTTCTATTCATTTACTCGTGCTGCTTTTTGTTCGTAGTACAGATATGATTGGTTGTATATGCTGATCGTGTTTGACTTTATCGATGGCTTTTATTATAGTCTATAAACCATAATAACATATAAAGCAATCAGTGATGACCTTGTTCCTAGGCCTTTACGGAATCCAAATTTTATGTTGCTGATGTCTGTATATAGTTTTTTTGTATTCTATTATGGGTCACTTTCAACAAGACTTTTAATCTGCGAGTCATTAGGCTTATCATACAAAAATTGATAAATATGAAAATTGATAGCAACATTTGTATTCGGTGCTGTTCTATATTTTCAAGGTTAATATGTCGCCTTTCACCTTTTTAGGTTTGTGCAATATAGTGCTTTCGTATTTCTACTTTTCGGTTTATTTCTGTGACTATTTTACCATTGCCGTCCTAGAGCAAATTGAGTTATTTACCTATACTGGTGCCTGCGAGTTCTTTGAATATTTTGTGTATGAAGAAATTATGTTTTGCGTGCAACTCCTCAATATCCTCACATTTTATTTGTAATGTTCTTCCTTCGCTTCCCTAATCTTTGCGCGAAGTATTGGTTGTGTTATCTTACATTGTAGATCATTCTTTCCTTTGAAGCTTCTTCCCTAGCCATGAAAGTAAGAATTTCGTTTGTTTTTCTATCTACGGACCTTAGCATTATAGTCCTCAAGTTTGAGTCAGTCCGTATTTGTAAGAACACGACTGGGTCTAAGATAGAGACAAAGTTGATGACGAACGCCATAATATGTTTTTAGATAGTAATTGCGACACCATATAATCAATTGATAATGATCGCTACAACATTATCTTTATTTCCAAAAAAGTACAATATGCCTATTTTTTGTTGGGACTTGATCATGATCTAGTAATCTTGTTTCACTGGTTCCCAATGTGTGGATCTCAGTCTTTACATTTCGTGAATGATGTTATGTATTTTTCCATGGTCAAGGAGGTATTAAGAAGGCATGGTCTCACGTTCCATATGTCAATCTCTAATTTGTCTGTTTTCATAATTTTGTGCATCGCTGTTCTCGGAGATCCGATTGGGGAGCTTATCACTCCCGACTAGTGATGTAAACAGAAAAGAAAGTTTTGTTTTTTGTAAAAAAAATCGTTTAAAGTGTATTTTAGACTGTGTGGAATAAGAATCTCGGTGCCGACTCGTTGTGTTCCTATCAACTTTAAAGAAGTCTCATATTTTTCAAAGTATTTAATTTTTTTTTTTATTTTAAGTTTGTATCATCTTACTCTAGGAATGTATGTAGCCGTTTTTCGGTGTATCTAAAGTTATCTGTTTTGCAACCATTTTTTTGCATGTTTTTATCAATAAATACAATATTTCTAGTTCTAGTTTTTGAGATTAAAAAAGTAATCGTACTCGATATTTGATTATTCAACTTCCAGTTTAAAAGAACTTGATTCTGCACGATTTGCTAGCCTAACGTTGCAGATATCTGGCGGCTGCAGTTTTAATAACTGTAAATAAATTAAATAATATTTTAGAACTAGAATAGCTGCTTATTAAAACTCTAAAATCCGTTTTTAAAAAACTTTTTTCCCCGCATTGCAAAAACTCTTAAATTTGTCTTTGTTTTCGTGTCTCCGAGGTGGCATACTCCCTTACAATATCAACAATACTAGTAGTAGTATTATTATTTGTGCATATGTCTCTCTTCACAGTTTCGGATTTTGGGTAATATAAACTATTTTAGCTACTCTTTCGATCAAAAGACCTTTCTTAATCCCTGCAGAGCATTAGAAAACATTCCTAATGGAAATGTATTTTTACATCTCAAATTCCTCTCGGTCATCGGCTACATGACAATATGTACTTTCGGCGTCTAACAGTATATTATAAATCTGTTAAAGTTTCTTTCTATGTATCTGCGTTTTAATATTTTATGAACCCATAAACATTTCTTATCTGGACTTACCTATTTTCTTCTACTTCTCTTTTATTAAACTTGACATGGAGCCCGTAAGTTGACCGTTCGATCAACAAACTATGACTAAGGCTTTAATCAATAGTTGATCCGAGTTATTCGGTGGATCCGTAGATAGTAGAGCGAATTGTTTTTCCTAGACATATTATTTTTAAATGATGTCTGATCGTAAATTGTTGTCTGCAAGTTTATATCTTTTAACAAATAGGCACACATATGACCTTTTAAATATATCATGTAACATCTAACCAATTTCTTTCATATAAAACATAGATTTTAATCTTCATAAAATTTAATCATATATGAATATTAAGTGAAATTTTGGTCACATCTTTAAAGCGGACTTTGTACGTTTTTTAAACAAATGGTCGATATTATAAGATCAATAAAATTGTTATCAAAAAAATCGTGAATATCGCGTGATTTTGTTAGAGATTTAAAATTATATTGTTTCTATACATATATTGATTGTGTAGTTAACTAAATATATGGTTATATTTTACAAAATGTTTTTCAAAGAAATCTACTTTAAACAATAAAATCAATTAAAATTAATGTTATACAATAAAAATTAAAAATAAAATAAGGAAATAAATATAATGAATCAAATAGAATTCTTAGAATGTTCCATTTTTAATGATTTTTAAACTTAACTACTGTATTTATGTAAAACTGTTGGTGAAAGTGTTTAACCTTGGACTGCGGCTTTATTACTGAGAAAACAGGATCAGCTAACTGATTATGAGATTAATGTGTTGTGAATAGATTTTTAAGAGCAATTGTAAACGAGTATTTAATAGTAACCTAGAGGAAAAGAAAAGTTATCTTTAAAAAACTCTGCATAGTTATAAAGCAAAATTATAAAATAATCAATTAAATCCCATTCAAACATCTTAAGTTACCTAATAACTTAATGCTTACAACCTTCTCGCTCAATAATCAGAGATCTAAACAATCACAATTTACAAATAAGATTACTAAACAACCTTGAATCCTCTAAGATTTATATTTCTCCTTATTCAAAAAAAAATTAAATGTATTTTTTTCAATTTATATTAAAATTAACCAATTTATTCCGGATCTAAAAACTGTTTATTGTCGAGGTAAGTTAATTTTTAATGCGAATCACGTAATTAAATGTATATTATTACGACTATTCCCGAGAATTGTTAGTATAAACTCCCCACTTTTACCTATTCGTTTACCTATAAAAGTACTTGAAACTCATGCAATTATTGCAATTTGCGCAAGATCTTTTTGCAAGAAGTGCAATAATAATAATCCAAGATGAAGTGCCTTATTCTTACTGTTTTGGTTGTTCTTAGCGTTGCTTTTGCGGCCGATGAAAAATATACCACCAAGTACGATAACGTTGACTTAAAACAAATTTTAAGTAACAAGAGATTGTTGAAGGGCTACGTTTTTTGTTTATTAGAAAAAGGACCGTGTAGCCCAGATGGTACAGAATTAAAACGTAAGTAATAAAAATTAATTTTAATTAAATCTATAAAATAATCTTAAATATTAATAATAGGTGTTCTTCCTGACGCCATTGCAACCGATTGCGCTAAATGCAGTGATAAACAGAAAAATGGTAGTAAAACTGTTTTAAGGCATTTGATTGATAATGAACCTGAATATTGGAAGGAATTGGAAGCCAAATACGACGAGAAAGGCCAATACAAAAGTAGATACGAAGCTGAACTTAAAAGTGATAAAAAGGAATAAGTGAGAAAACGGTGGAATGGAGATTAAGTATTTTTTATTAACAAAAATAGTGATGAAGTAGAAGCGGTATTGATGTTAAAATTTTTTTCTTAAAACTAGACACAATAGTTTACTTTTTTTGTTGTATTTGTATTTACTTTGTGATTTTGTTAAATTCTTCTTAAAAAATATAGAAAAATTAATAAAAATGCTTGACATTGGATATTGATTTTTTTTACAAAAAATAATCAGTTTTTATTCTCAATTACTAAATAAACTTTAAAATAAATTGAAATAATTAGCAATTTTTCAACAAGTTAACGACTACCGTTAAAATCTCCGCAGGAAAGGTTGGGTTGTACCCTTTCCCGGACAATTTCTGGAGACGGTTGTATTATCTTTTCATCCGTAACAAGTTTGAAATCATACAAACTCAGATTTATTTGATATCTGAATATTTCATAGTTTCACATCTCCATTTGCAATCAGACTAAATTATTAAATAAATTTTAATCAATCAAAATTCAGAATATTGCGCTATTAGAATATTGAAAGTAGTGCAGCCCAATTCTTTCTTCAATCACAAGTTGCACTTTTAGAAACAAAGTAGAAACATTTCGACGAATGAGTTAGATTGGATTTGACTTTTTTTCTTAACATTTTGAGACACAACACCGACGCAACATAAAATTCTTTCCTCGGAAGATGCACAAATTCAGAAACTTTAGTCTTGTTTCTGAAATGATTCTAGCAAAAATTAAAAAATATGCTATTTATAAAATGCCATTATTCACTAAAGTAAAGTTATCAAAACACCACCATTACTTACCTAAAAAAATCATGTAAACAAATCAAAAACACCTGTTTTTATGATATCATTTAATACGTTCAATGAGGGTGCTAAAACAATAATATACTACATTACGTAAAACAAAGGCGGAATAAATAATTGTGGCTATGTTTGGTACTTTTCTACACCTTTGAGAGAAAAAAACTTGAAAGTTCTATAATTGGTTTCTAAAAATATCGTTTGATTGATAAGCAAAAACTAAGTCCTGAGTTTTCATTTTTTGATCGTTGATCTTCCAAAGGGGTATGGACAAATGATAAACATATAGCAAGATGAAGTCAAGCAGCACCATCTATCCCACAATCTTAAATATACAGATATTAAACATTTTGATTATAAGTCATTTTTAGTTTACCTGTCGTGAACCCTAAAGAACCAAATATTTTACAGATTTGATATGAGGTTATAATTTAAACTTCTGTTTTGTTGCTTTGAATATCAAAAAAATGATGAATATCAATCATGCTCTCTTTAGTGATATTTTCAAATAATTGACATCATAAGCTTTTAATGAGGATGATATTTTATGGTGTTAATTACTACAAAACTAGAAGCCATAACTCAAACAGGCATATGTTAAATTTTTGAAGTCTTTTTGACCAAACAAAGTCTGAAATGTGTATTTCACGTATGTGTCTATAAAGTTATATAAGTCCACGTTTGAACCTTTACTAGCTTGACTCTCACGACAGATATACAAGTATGATCTGAGATCCTTAAATTATGTATACAAAATACATTGATTGTTAGCTGTATTTAATAAAAGACATCTTGCGGATGACAATCATCATGTGTTTCACATTCTTCATTTGATTTTTGTAAAGCAGTGTAAAACTTGTTGACTGTTTTTTGTGAAACATTAGACTTTTAATCTTTAAATTTAATTCTTCACACTTTAAACTACAGCTCAGACTGTAAAATCTAAAATATCTGGATTGATGAAAACATACATTCGATTTAATGAAAATGATAATGTGGAAGTATATTTAACAAAAGTTTGCAAAAGTTATGTTACATGTTATTCTTGTCTAAGCAAAACATATACAGCCGAACCTGGATAAGTGGGATCTCTGGGGAATAACTTCAAAATCCCACTTATAAAAATCTTAATCCCACATACAGGGGTTTTTACAGGATCTTTTTACAGCTCCGGTTATTGCATCTTGATTCAAGTTTTCATTAAGATAAAATTCCAAAATATCATCATCATTTTGGTCTCCGCAAATACTTAAACTACTGTCCACGTTTATGAAATCCCATGCAGTGATCTGAGCTTCGCATCTTTCAGTAATAGTCATCCAATGTTCAAATTCTATCGCTGGTTGTTCTTTTATCTTCATGAAATTCATCAACATTCATTTCTTCATCCAAACTTTTTTTTTTGGTTTCTTTGCAATTCAGCTTTTTTGAAATTAGCAATCGTTTTCTCGCTTACTTTAAACCAAGCCTTCCTAGCAAAGCGCATAGCTTGCAATAAATTTATTTCCCGTGGAATTTCTTCTTCCATACATTTTTAGTATGTGTTTCACAACAATTTGACGATAAAAAAACTTCAAATTTTTGATAATACCTTGATCCAGTGGTTGTATAAACTGGTTGTGTTAGCAGCAAGAAACGAAACTGTGATACTGTTTCATTTAAAAATGTCCTTGTGAGCTGAGCAGTTATCAATAAAAACAGTAATTTTTTTTTTGATGACTCATTTTCTTTTCTAAATTTGTTTAAAGTTCATAGATTTTGTATTTTGAATTAATTTTTGTGTTTCTTACGTTTGCCGAAAATATTAAAACAAGTTTTATTTTTTGTATTATTCGTACGAACCACGTAGAAAATAAGTCAGTCTCGTTGTTGTAGTTATTAAGTTGATTCAATTATTGTTTAGTGCAGTGTAGAACCAAACCATTTAATTTCATAATATAATGTATTGATAGTAAGTTATCTTTAATTCATTCTCAAACGAACTCGTAATTTCTCAACCTCAAAACAAAATTCTATAACCAATGAAATTTAAAATTAATTCAGTCTGTTCGACATTAAAAATGTTTTTCGGTTCAAATTCCCTTAGAATTTCTGGTAAATCATTAATCCAAGCATTAGAAACCGTATTATCAACAGACTTGCTCTGATCACAGATTTTTTTAAATGTTAAATCAATCCTCTTTTTATAACCTTCTATCCAACCAGTACTGGCAACAAAATCTTGAAGATTTATTTTTTTTGCAAAATCTAAGGCATTTTCTTTTAAATTGTTGCCATTTATAGATATATTTTGTGAGTACATACACTGCTCTATCCATTTTGTTAAGCAATCTTTCAAAATTAGAAACTCTTGCCGCAGCCTTTTAAGTTTTTCGCGTCTTTTGGATGATTCATCTAAAAGTTTATTTGCATCTGCCAAGTTCGTCCCAGAGTTGATCGTGGAATCCCAAATTCTTTTATTAATTCACTCCTACACTTTCGCGACTTATATGCATTAACTATTTTTATTTTATCGCTAATGTTTAAACTTCTTAAAGTATGTTTACTTGATATGATCACACAGTTGGAGTCTTTGTAAAATAACAACAACTCGTTTAAACCTACACATATGTATACGTTGACGCCTTCCCTTAGCGCCTTCGTCTATTTACAGAGGTAAAAAAGTTATTACAATGGAACAATTCCTACTGGGGTTAAAATGAAAATATTCAGTTTCTGTCATAACTAAGTGGTTAATTTTAAACTAAAATTAGAACTAAAACTAGAACTAACACTAGAAACTTTCGGGTTTCTAGTTTTAGTTCTAATTTTAGTTTAATAATAAAGTTTAAACTAAAAGTTTAAACTTTAATAATATTTAGTTTTAATAATAATAAAGCTTTCGTACTTATATGGTTCATTTTAATTTCGGTTTTGATTTAAAATTTAATTTGTGTCATAACTGAGAAAATGGTGGCCATTTCTACTTCAAACATAATGTTCATTTGCTTTGCTAACCGATGCTGATATGTATAATATATGTCATAAAATTAAAGACATCAAATGAAACGTTATACAATTTTGTTATCGTATTATTCGAAAATGTAACAAGAATGAATCTTATTTTTGAAAAATTCAACAACTCATATTTGATAACATTACCAAATTGATTATGATTATGAAAGAAGACATAAATTCTTTTCTAATAAAAACTTTTGACATTTACTTATATTATTACTTATATTATTTTAACATAAACTTTTAGCGTTCATCAACGTTAGTATTGACTTTTTTGCTTTCACCTTGAAAACGTTTTATATATTTGTTTCTAAAAATATTTAATAATCCGATTCCACGTTATCTTATATTAGTTAAGAATAGCTCCTAGTATCAGATAAACTCAAACATAATTTTAAAGAAAAACTTTATTGTAATTAAAAATGTATTGTTTTAATTTTCTTCAGCTTCCGTCTCTCTTTTATCTGTAAAATTTTGTAATCAACGCTAAAACAATAATATTTCCAAAATTTAATATTAAGCATCATTAACTAAATGATTGTTAGAATTGAAGTATTAAAATAAGAACGAAAAATAAAAGACTTTTTTAATGCTTCATTTAAATTTATTAAAAAATGTAAATTGAAAAAACATGATTAATAAGGTAACATCCTTTTAATCGCCATTTTGACATATTAATTTAGATCTTGATACCTTCCGCATGTGCTTTGTTTCTATATTGTTTCACATACACTCCTTGTGGATCGTATTTTGCTTCCAAATCATTCCAGATTTTTGATTCATTATCGATCAAAAAATTAATAATCTTTTTAGCACCAGCCTTTTGAACATCGGTACATTTCGCACAATCGTTTTGTAAAGCATCGGGTAAATCAGCTAAATTCACGACCAATCATTAAAAGCTATTACTTTTATAGTGCATATTAGGTACTTACTTTTAAGTTCAGTTCCATCGGGACTGCAAGGCCCTTTATCCAATAAACAATTGGTGTAACCTTTTAATAATCTTTTATTCTTTAAAATATCGTCAAGATTCACGCCATCGTATCGGGTAGTATATTTTTCAACTGCAACAGCAACAACTGCCGTTAAACAGAAAGCAATGAAGATGAATTGTTTCATTCTTAACGATTTGTATAACCGCACTGATTCAACATTGATTTTTCGAACTATTTATATTCGTTTTCTTGCAGGTTTAGATACTTACCTTAATTTCTTTATGATTATACTAATGGTTAGAAATTTAGTCGATTAACAAAATTTCCAAAGATTTAAGAAATCACAATAGATTTTAAAAGTACATTTTTTATTTAACTGGATTATTTAAGTACAAAAAAGTTAATAAAAAACATCAATACAAACATTAATAAAAATCAATTAAATCTTAATTCCTTCTTTGGCTGCTTCTTCCTTGTATCTTTGTCTGTATTCTCCTTTAGGGTCGTATTTCTTTTCCAATTGATCAAAAATATCGGATTCCTTATTAATTAAATGTTTCAAAATAACTTTGCTGCCTTCTTTCTGTTTTTCGCTGCATTTGTCACAATGAGTTGCCAAAGCATCAGGTAAGACCTCTAAATATTCACAAAGTACATTTTATTATTTATAAAAAAATCATTAAAATTAATTAATACTCACTTCTTAATTCAGCACCATCAGGGCTACATGGTCCTTTATCCAAAACACAATTTGTATATCCCTTCAATAACCGTTTATTATTAAGGATATCATCGATGTTAATGTTATCGTATTTCGTAGTGTATTTTTCAGCTGCGTTTACAAAAACGACAGCTACAAGAACCAAAATCACAATCGACTTCATCGTTAGTGTTTCTCTATGAATATCGCTTTTGCAACTAATTCAAAGATGTGAATATTCTGGTTTATATAGCGGTTATTCGCCAAAAAGTTTTCAAGTAGTAGGGCAAAGAGTTATGTCAGTGTATAATCCTTGTTATTTGTCAATGACATTGTGTTTTCCAGTGAATTGGCGTCAGAGCGGTAGAAATTTTTGCGTCCATAAAGAGGAAAAAAAACTCGTCCCATCTATTGGTAGAAATATATTAACCCACTCTAAGTTGTTTAAATGAAAAATATTTGTCAAACTGGTTATTAAATCTGACGCTAATTTTTATCCAAGATGAGAATTTTATTTTTTTTCTGACTAATAAAATTCTGCTCATTAAAATAATTAATTATTACAATAAAATAAATAAAAATGAATGTCAATGAATGTCATTTTATAATGATTTTAACAATTTTTAACATTTTACTAATTTTTAGACGGTCAAGTTTGTATTTTTTTCAAATGTTTTAGACCTTTGAGTGTTATAGGCAATTGTAAAAGAAGTTTATAAAAGATATCGAAAATGAACATTTCTTTAAATTTATTTGTTAAAAAGATTTGTGAAACATTTTATTAGAAAATTAGAAAGAATAAAATATTGTTAAATCAATAAAAAATGTTAATAAAAGATCTTTAGGGAATAATTGACAACTATGAGCCTCTCTTACATCTTTTGCAAAATCTTTCCCATTTTCATTCGAAACTTTCAATCCAGTAATAAAGTAAACCATTTTGTTCACGATTGTCTCTTTATCTGGTTGTCCTTCCATTCCACTAGTTACTATTAAAACGCTGTTCCAAATATATTTTTCAACCTACAATGATTTTTTTGGCAATCATTACTTTATTTCTCTAATTCTCTCATTACTAATGATTTTAGTTTTAAATTCAAAAAATACTTGACGAGGTCATCACTTTTATCGTATCATTTGGTTGTAGAAAATTTCAATTTGCTTTATACATTCTTCTGCGTCTTTTTTTTTAGATGGTAAAATCGTTATTGACAGTTAATATGTCGACGTCACACAGTGGTCCATTTCGTAAATGTAGGTGGACAAAAGTAATATTGGAAAAAAATAAAACTTTTTTAGACATAATTATATTCAAAAACTCATAAAAAATGTTTTCAAAGTCTTCATCTCTACTGCACAAGAGACTAAATTCTTCATCGGTGGACTCCTCCTCTGCAGTGATAGATTTCTGCTCTTGAGATGACTTTTTTAATAATGAAATTACTTCATCGGAAATATTCTCTATTTTCTTAGGAACGAGACTTCTGAAGTTTGTCATTAGCGGATCTGACGAAACTAATAACATATTGAACAGATTCTCGGTGTTGGTGATTCTGGACGTTTTTCTAGCGTGATCTCTCCGAAACCTGCGACAATCCTTGTTGCGTCCTTCCAGCGCTTCCTCAGAAAACTGCCCAATAGGAAGAAGAGTAGATTTAACAATGTCCATTCCGTGAATTATATATTATATTCAATTCTATAATTGAACATACAACTTAGCCTTAAAAATAATCTTTAAATGTTTCCGAATTTATTTTGTATTCACTCGCAATTATCTTTAATAAAACTGCAAACCGTTTAATTAGTTCCTCATTCACTCCTGTGATCGCACTGGATAGCGATGGATTAGAAAAAAATCTTCGAGCAGTGTTGCCATTATTACTTGTTCCGTAACCTGGTTAATATCCACAAGTAGGCCCATTTCCTTGCAAAAGTGATCTTAAATTAATCTTTTTTTCGCTTGTCTACATTTTCCCTTTTTTCTCACTTGCCAGGTTTGAACTTCAAGTCTGTAGGCAATGTGCAGCACACATTCGAAGCATCTTATCCACACGTGAAGACTTGATAACCCAAAAACATTGATGCGTGTCTAGCCAAGTTATTCATTTCTTTAGGTGTTGCACCACAGATATAACAGTTTTGAAATGACTCTTGTGCAATAACACTGCAGACCTTTACGCCTATTATTGTCATCACCATTTTGTGATCCACGAATATGTCTTTGCCTTCATTTATAATATGTGTCGGAGAAAGAACTTTTATTTCTGTTTCTACTTTACTAACTTCTGTTCGAGTTAGTTCTACACTTTCTTTCTGAAACACAAACTTTATTGGGCGACAATAGCGTGTTGGCGAAGGGCGTGGATTTTCCCATTTTATAGCTTCATTATATTTTAATTGCAGCGGAACTAATGAAATTACAAACAAGAATGCATCATCATTTCTGAATGCATGTTCATTTTCCATGTCCGTCCTATACATTTGCTTCTATGTACTTTGTCCTAATGCCCCATCACAACCGCACTTGAACAACATGGTCAAATTTGATTGCACCTCCGATACATAGAACTACTCTGTATGAAAGATCTTTCTCATATCAGATACCAAAAATATGGAACGGTCTCCCGATTGGTCCCTATTGCAGCTTAGCTACGTTTAGAAGTCGTTATCGAAACCATCTATTGCGGAGTCAGGGTGTAGAGCACGTGTAGCGGGCGGAAGTCGCCCTGTGACGCGGCATTATTTTGTTCTGTTTAAATTCCCATAAAATTTTATTTTGATAAGTGAAGCTGAAGTCAAGTGGAAGAACAGATCATCCATCTCAGGATGGATGACCTGAACTTCGCCTATTGCCCATTTTTTTTTCTATTATAGTTATTTTCTATTTGTTTTTTGTAACTATCTTTATGTTTTACTTGTAATTATATTATCTTTTTTGTATTTGTATTTGTATGGGCAATAAAGTCATTATTATTATTATTATTAAATGTGGGCCTGTATCTACATTTTTTAAAATATCACTGTTACTGCTAACTAAACGTTGAATAGTGAGATTAAGCAAAGCTTGAAGCTTTACTTCGGCAGTAATCTCAGTGACAGCTATACCATCCCGATAACACCTTTTCTTTATTGTATATTCTTTGGACTTTTATATGCTTTTTTAATTCTTATCGCTCTCATTGGGAAATTTCAATTTGTTTAAGAATTTCGGCTGCGTCTCTTTTTCCTTTTGAGCGTAGACTCATCTGGGCCGCGTAAACCAGCTCTGCAGAAGATTGTGCAACTATGCAAGTAGTAAGTGTGTTTTCTTTGTTTTGTCACTTGCCTCTTCGGAAACATGTTTGGACACTTAGCGTTTCTTATTAAAAAGTTTTTTAGTATATGATGACATTTTTGCCAGCAATCTTTTAAATGCACACAAAAACTTTCAGTCACTTTTAGCATACATCCGGTTATGTGATCATCACAGTTTTCTAATCTTAATTTGTTTATTGTATAACTGTAGACACTATAGAATCTATTGAAAACGTTTAGTTCACTTCACCACGCGTCGAATAAAGCTTTTCAAGTGAGTGCGTCGTCCATGGTAGAAACTGCAATAATTGGTGAAATATGGTTGCAAATATTATTATTTAAACTCTTAAATAATTACTCTAACCAACTATTTATAGAAAAAATTGGAGGAATACGGAGAATTTTATATCAGCTTGACTAAAGTCGGACAATTATAGGTAAAATTTACATTATTACATCATTCGTTTCGTAATGATATTGTCCCAATAATATTTAAAAAAAGTACATTTTAGTAACTGCAAGATACTTTGTTCAATCCTACCTTCGAAATTGTAAGTTTCTAACTTAGATACGAGTGTTGAAAGTTGTTATTTGCATTCACTCTGCTGACTTTCATAGAAACGAGTGAGTGAAAATTCTGTTCACTCACTCTAATTTTTTTCAACCACTGTTAGCTAAATATAAACCCTTTAAAGAAACAACTCTTTGTTTAAACGTAACGAATGTTAACTAAAAAACGGTGGACAGCACACGTGGGACGTTAATTCAGTATTTCACTTGTATACTCGCCTTCGGTTCGTGTGGAAATCCGACACACGCGTTACTGAAAAATCATAGTTTCCTCACTTGTACTGTAATATACTATTAAATACCTTTAGTTGCAGTTTTAGAAACACAAAACTGCAATTGCTAGAATACTACTTGAAATAAACAGAAAAACTTTTCTACCTACGATTGCCAAACAACCCCGAACAAATAAGCAGATTCCTGTCAATTGTCAAGTTATAGAGACATTAAAAAGTAGTTTGCAATTGTTACAAACCACTTTATAAGAAAACACTTTTGTGCATTTTGTCCAGCTAAAATAGCAGTCTGAAGTACTGTGCATCACATCGATTATCTTATTTACAACTGTGTGATTTATATAAAATAAGCCAAAGTCGCTGAAATTATTACCCACATATTTCACCTACGATTTTAAAAACTAAAATCATATAATGCCAACTTCAAACATAGCCGAGGTGGATTGACGCCGAGGCGCTGCGATTAATGCCACATCAACTTAAAATAATATGCAATATGAAGCGCTGCAATATGAGTATTTCAGCGCCTCGGCCGCAAACATCAGCGACTCTTACAATAGAAACAGTAGGATTTTACCTGATTAAGCCAAGGTTGCTTGGGACCGAGGCGCTGCAGTTAATTAATTTATCATATTAACCCAAGATTGATTAACACATATTGCAGCGAAGCCTTAATTGGGAGACACCATATGTTGTTAGTCGTAAATTTAGCTGAGATCATTTGCGGATGCGGTGTTGTGATCAATACCACATTGACACAAGCTTATCCGCCTTTTCATTGCTTTCAATGTCTTTGTGGCCTGGAACCCACCATGTAGTAACTTTATTGTCTCAGACGAGATTTCTCAAGTTGTTGGTCTTTAACCAGTGCGGATTCACACATAAAGGCCTTAATTGCCTTTAGGACGGCCCGACTGTCCGTGAAAATGTTTATCGATGCACCTTTTCTAGTTTCAAAAGGGTGCAGAAGTTTATGGCAAGAAGTTCTGCTTGAAAAATGGTTATATCCGAAGTAATGAATTTAATAATTGTGATGCCTTGAATAAATTTAAGATTGACAGTATATGAAGAATGTGCCAAAAATCAAGGTCCCTCAATTTAGGGATCGATATTTTTGTTCGTTGAAAAAAATAGCGGTAAAG